AATTGCCCGTGTTTGATACTTCGCGTTGTGAGAGTTTTCGTTGGTGGCTTCTGTCCCAAGTAAAGAGAAAGCTGGACCTTGGAAGTCCCCTCTGGCTCAGTCTGATACTGCAGGGCTGGTGGCTTTTGCCGCAGGTTATAGCTTTGGAGTTAGCTTCACTAGAAGAAGGAGTGCCTTCCTTATATTTCATTGTGTTTTCTTAAAGTTTAAGAATGAGGTTTGTGGTGTGAAGTGCTCTCTTAAATGCTAAAATTCCATGCTCTCAAGGTGAAAATGCACCTCCTCACAATTTCTCCTTTGAAGGATTTTTTTATGTGTGTTTAAAATTGCCTTCTAAGTTGAAGATATGACCTTCCTACTTAGTGTTAAGCACTTTAGTTTCAAATGAAGGGCCAATTTTATTGACCAGGTAGCAACATCTGCAGTGGTCAGGCCCATTGCATATAGCAAAACGAAGTATTTGTGGTTGATGTTTCTCACCCTTGTGGCCGGGGACTGTTATTGGAGTTGTCTGTTCTGTAGCTGACTGTTAGAGGGGGGCACTTGGGTGAGGGTGGAATCACGGGTGTGGGCTAGAGGAAGGTCGTCTGCTGAGCAGCCCAGGTCTGCGGCTCCAGGTGCACCTGGAAGACCATTCACATGGGTCTCCTTGCCAGTGTAGTCTGTGCCCTGGCTGAGTGAGACAGAACTAAGCCAACTGGCACTACAGGGTGTAAATACCTTAATTCTGCTCAAGCTGGCACCCCCACGGGGCTGCCAGGCTGAAGCTGGTCAGCTGGGCCCCCTTACATTCTGGTCCTTCCTCCTGAGGCCTGAAACCGAATGTGACAGTCACTAGTGTTACGCTAGTGATGAGTTTACAAGGGGCTTCCCCAACCCATAAAAAAGATACTGTACTTGATCACTTGAGAAATAAGCTGTGAAATTTATGCTGAACAATGTGCTATATTCACAGATTAAAAATTACTACCCCTTGCCAGGCATGGTGGCACATGCCTGTAATCCCAGCACTGTGGAGGCTGAGGCAGGAGGATCAGCATAAGTTGGAGGCCAGCTTGGGGGTACATAAGCAAGTTCAAGGCCAGCCTGCACTACATAGTGAGACCCTGCCTCAAAAAAGAAAAAAGAAAAGAAAAAATTGCTACCTCTTTAAGATGCAGCCCTGCAGGGAGATGCACCTCCCTGTCCTTATAGGTCAGCTGACCAGTGCCTGGGACACCCGTCGGCCACCTGCCTGGGCCTCAAAGCCTTTCAAAATATTCAAAACTGAATTTGGGCCGCGTTCTCTATCACCATACCCTACTGTGTACATACTGCCTGTGTCTTATTGCAGAATGAACACTAGCCATTCATTCTGAGTTTATCGATTCAAGGAAGAACTGTATTTGCAGCCAGCAGTGGTAGTTCATGGGTTAGAAGGTGAAGCCAGCCTGGGAAGCTTACTTCGTGAGATACTATCCCAAAGTAAAAAGATTTTTAAAAGCCTGGGGGTGTAGCTCACCCGTGAAAGCCCTGGGTTCAATGACCAGTACCACTGAAAAGGAAGCATAGTCGCTTTTCAAAAACCAGAGTGATAGAGCACTTGCCCTAGTATGCACCCAACCCTGGGCTCAGCCCCAGCACCTAAGAAACAAAACCATTCTTTAATTAAAAAAAAAAAAAAGTAGATATGGGGGGGTGTGATAAAAATATGCTCTATGTGCATGTATGCAAATGCTATAATGAGACTTAGTATCTTGTAAAATTAATATGCACTGATAAATGAAAAGCAGACATGATAGGTGCAGTGTTAGAGTAGCTCAGACATACCAGCCTTCTCTGTTATTTACGTTGTACAGCACTGTTTTGTAATCAGTTTCTTAAAGGACAGCTAAGTACAGTTGATAGCTTGTTTACTGATCTATAGCTGCTGCCAGCAAATTATAATGTGTGCCGAGCCTGGCCTGCACCATCCTGTGGTTAATCTAACACTCCTCACTCTTACATGCTCTCCCAAGACAAGATCAGGGCCCCCGGGCATCTCCCGTTGTTTCTCACCCTTCTTGCATTTTTCTCAGGGTCTCCTCAGTAGATTATCTGCACCAGAACCACTTAAGGGCTTTAAGATTGTAGCCTCCTGGGCTTGTAGGACACTCCCACGGCTGAGGCTGGAGAGACCTCCTGTGGATCTGTTTACATCTGTGTGTTTGAGTTAACTAGCAGTTAGCTCAACTTCTCTTCCCATAGAAGAAAGAGCCCATCTGCTTATCTCCTCCAAAACGCAGATAAAGTTGAGTTGGGCCACCAGGAACCTGCAGTTCCCTCTGAGCTGCCGACGGCTGGGTCGCTGTGTTCTCTAGGTACACGAGTTCTGATAAACCAGCTTCTGCCCCGTGCTGGCTCCTGTGATGGTGCTTTGGGTTGCCAGCCCCGTATGAACCAGACACCTTCGAAGTGAGGGGTTCGTAGAATTCAGCAGGCCTCATCTGCAGGTCAAGGGGAATTAACCAGGGGAGTTGTTTTGTTTTTGGTTTGCCTTGTGAGAAGTTGGGAAGCATACTTCCAAGTATGCCTGTCCAGAGGAAACCTAACAGTTGATTGAAATTCAGCTTTTAATACACAAAGGGAGCAGAGCCGAGACCCCCCAGAACACAGAGAATACTTGTGTCCCACAGGTAATTTGCATTGGGGGAGAAAATCAGCAAATTTCTCCACTTATTAAATAAACATTGAGTCACTTGGCTGACAGCTTTTACCTTTCCACCAGCTTGAAACACAGGCAGTCTGCATTTCAGTGATTTTCTTTTGATAATTAATTTTTCTTTGTTTCTGACTCCAGGGTTGAAGGCAGATTTCTCTCAGCTATGGCCTGGGGGAGGATTGCTCGGGAGCCCTGTGTAGTGGGCACCAACCGAAGATGCGGTCCTTTCCTTTAGCTTTGTCAGACGCTTCTAAATTGCGGGGAAGAGTACCTGGTTGCGAATAAAAGACCGTAATGATTGGGTCCCTGTGATAGTTCATCCTCGAAGGACTGAAAACCCAAGAAAAATCAGGGTACTGTGACATCATTACCATCTGGCGTGGTCTCCCCTGAAATCTTACTTTTCTTTTTTTTTTTTTTTTTCTTTTTCAAAGAAAATGGTTTTTATTGGTACATTTTAAGTATACATAATGATCACATTCATCCTAGGGAATTTGTGCCTGTACGTGATATAACTTGATTCTTCTTGTTTTTTCCCATTCCCCTGCCCTCCCTTCAACCCCTCTTCCCCTCCTTACTTATAAAAGCCTTGTTTCCATTTTTGAAATCTTGTTTTCTGCCAGTGGTTCAAAATAAAATTTTAATAGACTTTACAGATTAACATTAGAAATATTTGTGTGACAAGAGTATGACCCAAGTAATTTTTTATGATTGGACGTAGATTCAAGGGCCATCCCTGAGTAACCCTAAAAGTGTCCCCTACCAGCTTCGTCTTCTGCATCTGTGCTGCCTTTAGCGGCTTGCCTCTGGCTGATTCACAGAGTGCTGTGGCGCTGGGGAGGTCTGTGTGTCCCCAGCCCTCCATACCTGCTTCTCTACAGCCCTAAGGCTTCATGGGGTCGTTCCTAAATGTATTTGAGTTGGGACCCGGAGGCAGAGAAAATGGGACTAGAATTTGGAGAAAAATTGGCAAAAACTTTGTTGTGTTCATTTTAACATGCTTGTAGAGGCTGGGGATTTAGCTCAGCGGCGCAGTGCCTGCCTGGCAAGCGTGAGGTCGTGAGTTCAATTCCCTGTACCAAAAAAAAACCAAACAAAAAAAACAAAACACATGCTTTTAGAGAACTACGATTTAGTATCAGTTTTGTGGACCTTTTACAGAAGCACAAAACGGGAAGCTGCATTCAGCCTTCCTGTGAAATCCAGCAGCACAGGTTGTACACGCTTTGCGGTGGTTAACACGCAGCGCGTGTGTTTAACTGGATGCTGCGTACGTGCTTTCACAGCGAGTGAACAGAAGTTGAACATGAATAGCAGTTGGAATCCCAGAGTCTTATCTGTCTTCCTGCACTCGGTGCTAAACCGTTCTCTCGTCGTCCTCTGAGGGCGATGCTTCTCTTCATGGTATGTGAATATTGTTTGCCTGAAGTCTGATGGGACCTTTGAAGACTCACGGTTTTGTTCTTCATGTTTGGCTGTCGCAAGGCTTTTAATGGTTTCACTAGCCAACAGATAATGTCGTGGGTGTGGATGTTAGTGACAGCTTAATGAAGGGACCAGCCGTCCTCTTTTCTCTCCTTTCCGAAAAGCCTTTGCTCTTTGGCCCAAAACACTTCCTCTCCCCATGTGGTGTTTGCAGATTTGAACCCATCTTTATTGGCTGCATTAATATTGAAACAAAACATACAATTATGCTTTCGTGTGGCCCTGGGTAGCACTTGCTCGGGAAGGCTGGCTGTTTCTATCACCAAGCCTACTTCCATAGCAACCGACGCATCCGACGTCTCAGCTTTCTCGTTTTCCCTTGGAAGGGACAACTGTTTTATGTCCTATTCCTACCTGTGGTTGGCATTTTCCTAGGAACTGTTACTTGTCAAATGGTTAATTACTGACAAACTAAATTTTTATATTCTAGTATGTTTGGAGTCTCTATCCTCCCTTCCTTTCTTCCTGTGCCAGGGAAGGAAGGGAGCCTAGGGCCTTGCGCATGCTAGGCAAGCGCTCTGTCACTGAGCTACACCCCTAGCCCTTGAGCGTGTTTCTTGGGTACAGTTCTTCTGAGTATATATAAATGGGACAGGATATTTTTAATTCTTGGAATTCTGAACCTCTAGTTCTGTAAAAGGAAATTAATCTGTAGTCCTATTCTTTGGGCAGAATTACACAGCAGACTTTGCCGCTGTCATCTGTAATGCATGGCTGTAGTTGTTGAAATCTAGAAGCTTCCATGATGGGGGGGCAGCATCTAGAACCATAGCAGGGGAACATTTCAGTGCTGTGTGGGCCGCAGTTGACTTTTCATCTGTTTCTTCCCACACAGCTTCCATGAGGCAGTCTCAGGCTGAACCTCCGGATTTGCGCCCAGAGATATGGATCGCACAGGAGTTGCGCCGCATCGGAGATGAGTTTAATGCCTCTTACCCAAGGAGGGTAAGGACATCTTTGTTACCTTTCTTCCCCTCATGCTTCCCATCAAGAAAAAATGAAGAGTAAGAGCTACATACTGATTCTGGAAATGAAAGTATCCCCTACATGTGACCTTCCATTGTCTTGCCTCTACTGTTTTCCATTTATTTTATGGCAGAATTTGATAGCTTAAGTCACTTAAAAACATACAGTATGAGACTGCAAAAGTATTTATGAGCAGAGAACTTAAAACATCAGTGCTAAAAATGGAAGTTATTTATAGGCTTTGAAATGCTCCCATGTAAATATTACTACCATAGTTTTCAATCCGTGTAAAGTGCTTCTGCACTCCCGGTAGGCAGTTTGGGTCAGAGTTACAGAAATTTTAAATGTGCATTGTCACCGAGCTCCAGGGAGCAGTGCCAGCGCTAATCTAAAACTTACGCCACCCGCGGCTGCCCTGAGTCAAAGGAGGGAGCTGTCCCCTCTCGACCCCGAGGTGGTCCTTGCACCTCTATTGGTGGGAGTGGTTCAGGAGGCCACTAATCAACTGCATGCAGTTTGGGTACAGTGTACAAACTTTAAATAAAGATAGCAGACAGCCACATCAACTTTGAGATGTATTCTTGATTCTTACTAAAAAAAAAAACAAAACTATATTTTCTGTAGGTGCAGTGTGTTTTAAATTTTTTTTTTTCTTGCTTTTTGTTTGCCTGGTAGAATATCGTATGACTGTTGCAACCTCCTTTCCAAATTGAGGATGGTTTGAGAGGGCAGGTTTAACTCTGGGACCATTATGAGCATGGTGACTGTCCTCTGAGGGCCACACAGACATTGTGGGGTCTGAAGGATTAAGCATATTCCTTCAGACACCTCCTATGAAGATGCCCCTGTTTCTCTGAAGAGAAGGGTGTTTAGTCTCAGTTTATGGAAGACATTATAGTTGTTGATACCATTCTCTCATTCTGTCACTTCTCTCCTGGCCATATTTTCTTTCTGAAAATTATTGTCTCATAGAAATGCCTCTTACAGTGTGTGAAATCTCTTTCCTTTCCTTGAGTTGGGGGAAGTCATGCTGAGAACACCCTGGAGTTTCTGTCCTGCTTTAAGCCCTCGCCTTGGGCCCGGCCAGCCGCTGCTGAGTGAGTGGCTGTTTCCTGCCTGTCACTCTGAGTTGCTCCTATTTTTCTCTTGGTGATTAACACCACTCGCACCTCCCGCGTACACTGGCCAGGTAGACTCTCTTGTCAGGGGGTCTGGTCTTGCCCGTCAGCTCCTTTTCCTGTCTTTCTGTGGTGTGCGTGTCCGTGTGGCTGGTGGGAAGTGTGCTGCAGTCACAGTTCTGTCATCAAACGGGAAGTGCCACATTGATGAATGGGCTGAGGAAACTCTCAGGAGACTGTCTTCAGCCGGCACATGCCTGGCATCCTCCCTGCCATGGGTGAGCTCACAGAACATAAGTGCTTGGCAGCCCCCATCTGAAATGGTAATTTTTTTGTTTTTGGAAAGTTGGTTGATGCTGTAATTTACCACTAGTTATCGTACGTTCTCCATAGTGCTTGGGATTTGGATGTTCCCGCATGCAGCCAGCCTTGGTTCTCATCAGAAATAGGGCTGTGTGTTCAGGAGGCTGGCCCTCATGCGGAAGCAAGGAAGACACAGGTCCCTTCAGCAGAGCAGGCGGCTGCATTAGAGCCCTGGTTCCAGGCCGGGTCTAGAATCCAGCAGGACAGGTCATTTCTGAGCCAGTGCGACACACTGCTGTCACACTAGGCCCGGTGGCTTCTGTCTCACAGGGGCTTTGCAGGTTTCCTAGGTGGCTCTGCAGGGGCCCCGGTCCCCAAGTGTCCTCACTGTGCGACACAACTCCTGTTCTCACGAGCCGTACACAGCCACTGGCTGCAGAACTGGGTGTATTTAAGAATATTTTGAAAAAGTTTCTCTTTAAACCACAAGTGTGAACTCACAACTACAAGACTTCTCAGGGGCCTGCCGAGGTGGGCCCAGGGACGTAGCTCCCTAGCAGGGATGAGACATGGGCTGAAGGTGGTGGCCACCCACCTGCGGCTGTCCCCTGACAAAGGCTGACACTGTGGTGGTGCACGGTTGGAGACATGGGCCTGCATGATCTTACCTTGACGCTGAGGATGAGGCTGTGGCATCCGTGTGTGTGTGTGTGTGTGTGTGTGTGTGTGGCCTCCCTCTCTCCCAGGGTGGTTTCTCGGTGTCATGTGTAAGTAGGCGTCTGAGAAGAAGATCATGTGTGTATTTTTGGCTGAGGTGGCACTTACCGTTCCCCATGCTTTTGTTGAAACAAATTTACGTTTAGCTTATTAGACTATTTTGCAAGATTTTATAATTATGCATTTTATTTTGCATATCTTAAAAATACCATTCAGTGCTAAAGCTTAGTCACGAAGAAAGGACTTCAGCTTTCTTAGCAGGCTGGAATGTTGAGGGAAAGGACTAGAGACATTGTAGGTTATAGCATAATTTCTCCAAAACGAGGACAGATACATTCTCCAGATTAAATACAAATAGCCAGCTCAGAGCACTGGACTCTGGGCAGTGCCATGGTGACCCTTAAACCCACCATGGCTGTCTTGCTAGTTGGTAGGTTAGAGCAGCCCATTGTCGGTAATGCCAGGGATGGCCCATTGCCGCACGCAGGGAGGAGGCTGTGGCGCAGTCTGCAGTGCTGTTCGGATGACCTGCTGCCTTTGCAAGGTGCCCGTGCACTGCCGTGTGGCTTCCTGGCGGTTTCAGCCTCTTTGAATATTTCCTTTTGTCTGTTTTGCCTCACACTGTTTCACAGTCTACTGTAAAGCACTGGTCTTTCATTGCCATTAGCCTCATGAAGCCCGACAGGGTGCTTTCCTGTTTGTCCAGTGAGAGAAACAGAGGACTTACTGCGTAGCTGTCGCATGTTAGTGGTGGCCTGTGGAATGCAAAGGTGAGGCCAAACCCTGGAGGAGGCGGGGGCACAGGTGAGCACCTGCCCCCGTCTCGCCCTTTCTCTTCACACCTGGTGACCCCGCCGGCCGGCCGGCAGGGAGCTGCCACGGAGCCTCGTTGCTTCACATCGTGGAGATTGTTTGCCAACTTTGATCTAGAAATATCCTCAGGTGCATGTCAGTGTTGACAGAAAGGCACAGAGAACTCCGCTCATCTGCCACCTTTGGGTCCCCGGTGTGAACGTGTTATACGTTTGCTTTAATGATGCCGTTGACACCCGTGTGTGTGTTGTTGCTGCGTGGTCCCCTCTCCTGGCCCCTCATCCTCTCGTGTGTCTCTGCTGGGAAGAAGAGGGTCCTCTTGCAGAACCACAGTGTGGCTATCAAAATCAGGAAGTGTTGTTCCCAAATGGCCTTTGTATCCCCACGCCCCCCCAAAAAATTTACAAAGGTATTTTCTGGTCCAAGGTTTAATCTAGAGTCAGTCCTTGAATTTTGTTGCCTTGTGCCTTGTTCCATTAACGTGGCATGTTTCTCAGCCTTCGCCCCTGTGACAGTGCCCTTTGTGAAGGGGCTGGGAAACCACAGCCTCAAAGCAGTTGGTTTGCCAATATTTCTGTGTGATGCGGCCATGGCTTTACACTTGGCTCCAGAGGCGCACATGGTGTCCCTCTGGCCCCTTCTTGGTGCTGTCGAGGGTGGTGTCTTCCGCTGTGGAGTTAATAGTCCTTCGTTTAATGGCAGCAAAGAGCTTGTAAAAGAGGTGGTACTTCCTTCTCACCCCTCTAATTTGTTTCCTTTGCCTTCTTGGGTTTGCGGGTTCCGGTTTGTCCTGTGGACTATTATGCATTAGTTGCTCTCAGTGTTTATCATGAAGCTTGGTGTCTCCCCAGCCGGGCCTGTGCAGCCCTCTGAACGTCCGTGGCTGCGAGACAGCTCAAGCACTGGGGTTTGATGGGGCCCTGGGAGGCACTGGTCACTGAGTTGGCTACACCCACAGGGTGCGCTGACCGTCTCCACCCCTTGTGTCCCCATCGCAGCATGGGGCACATACACGGGACGGACTTGTAGCAGGCGGGAAAGGTTGGGGAACACAGGGATGCTGGGGGGGGGCGCTGGGGAACACAGGGGTGCCAGGGGCCTGGAGGGAAGAGGCAGTCCGAGCCGTTGGCTCTCTAGCCCAGAGCTGGAGAAGCGAACACCTTGCTTCTAGCAGAGCGGTGTGGTGTCATCTGTATGGTAGCAGGGCAGCCGGTGCCTTGAAGCCGCCTCACCCTTGGGGACAGGGAGCCTCACCACAGAGGCAGCCGGGTTTCTGTGCTCAGAAGCAGGCCTCGCTGGTTCCTTCTGAGACTCAGAAGCTGCGTGAGGGCACGTGCTGGCCTGTCTGCTGGAGGTGATGTCAGCGGGTGCAGGTCATGGCCCTGTGCCAGCGCGAACACTGGCTCTGGAGGCTCGGTGTCCACTCAGGTGGGCATCTTGGCTCTGGGCCAGTGGAGCAATGCTGGGCCCTTCAGACCATGAAGGCTTTGTTTTTGGAGTCACTGGACCCCTTCCACAGCCGTTGCCCACCCTCACTGCTACTGGGGTCTGTCTTCCGTGCCTCATGGTCAGCTTGTCCAGTCCAGAGAGGCTGCTCTCGGCCTGCAGTGACTTGGGGATACTCCAGCGGTAGACAGTAGTGGACAGCCATGAATGAAGCTCTGATGGACTCTGCAGAGGGGGCAGGAAGTGAGTGAAGACTCTGTCATTGTCTGATCACAAGAAACAGTGCATCTTTTGTTTACACTGCCTACTTCCTTCTCTGTCCCAGACATGTGTAGGCATGAATTGATTGAAGTGCTGTAGACCAAAGTGTAGCCCTGAGTCAGATAAAGCAGAGGAAAGAGGTGGCCTGCAGAGCAGTTTTGCTTAAACAGAAGCTTAGCCGAAGTGTCCACAGCCGCCATGCGTTCACGTTTTGCCGTGCTACTATGAACTTGACCTTTATGTGCCTGTCCTTCCTAAGAAGTAGGATCCCCTGTGCTGCCTGACCCAGGCTTTTAGACATCAGGGTCCTGTGAGTAACGT